AAACTATTACTAGTGTTGCTTCAACCTTGTTTTCGCAACTTGGTGGGAGCGTCAGGGAAACGTTGTCGCGTGTCCTCTGCCAAAGTATTCGTGCTTTCCAGCATTGCACCAATGGTTGGGTACATTCCCAAACGAATATTATGGCAGATGACACGCGACTTGGTATGTAACGCAAGGTCGAACCACACTACACAGCTAAAAAAGACTGCGGCCAAACAGACGGACACCCCATCTTGGCCTTCATATCTACTCTTACTACTGTTTCTTACTCTCAAGGTGTCTGTCATCTAAGATTATAAAGTTTAGAAAGATTTAGTAGGGTTCCGGAGTGATGAGTCGATATGGAAAGTGAATGTACCAGAATGGAATGGATGCCACAACTTTTCCACTGACATTTGGTCAAGGGATGAACTTCATTTGTTTATGACGAGTTGTATTCGGGCGCTCAGAGTAGCAAGGCTTACTGAAGATGCCGCCGAAACATCTGGGGATATCCAAGTCTATTATCCAACCATAGATATTATCATAGCTAGTACGGCCGAGGTATCCGTACGATATATGTTTACCAAGGTCTCCCTGACAATTCGACTAAGTTTTAAAAACTAGACCAAAAGAAAGAAGACCAGAAGTATATTAGAGGCCACACCATCTTGCTCTTCATACTTTGGTTGAGCTATCAAAAAAAATTGCTTCACTTTTTGCTCAGTGCTTGATTTGTTTCGTTTTCGATTTCCAACTTATGCAATGTAGCTTTCGTGGTGTATTTACGTTTATAATGATATGCTGAAGATGCCTTAAAATTAGGGATCATTCGAATTGCGTGAATTTAATATCTGAAAGAATTTTTTGCTATCTCTGGTTAAATATTTTTTCACGAAAAACTTGATATTCATGATGGAATTTCATCAATCACAATTAGTTGTTTTGCTTTAGTTTTTTTAAAGATCAATTCACCCTATCATTTAACTGTCTCAGAATTGATAGAGGAAGTTTATATACTATCTTTATCTAAAATTGTTAGTTTATCTAAGCAATTAACTTATTTTTTTGCTGCTCACTCAACGTCTTTATTTTATTTGCTCCCTATGCTCACTAATTTGCAACTGTATGAAATTTTCATATTATTTTTAATCAGACCTGGGGATTTTATCTTAATATAGGCCTCAAAATAATCATCTTATAAGGGTGTTATTCTCATCATTTATTGTTTGCTTGCCAATTTGGCTGATTAAGTCCCTCGTTAGAGCATATTTTTTATATCCTATATAGACAAGGATACATCATTTTGCGGTTACTTTATACCCTTACACCTGGACTTAATTAATATAATTAGCAATTTTTTATAACATAATATGAACGAACAGATCAACGGAGGTCCCTAGTGACGGTAGTGATATCTTCATATGGACCTTACTTTCCATACCTTTAAGAAATTCGCATATCCTACAGCTCTGTATCGAAGACACCTTTTCGGATTAATTAAACTACCTCAATCGGACCTTGCTAAATATCACATAGCCTGACAAATTTATTCAGGAGTGTTGCCAATAATTTAGCTGAAAAGATTTTGATATTATCTTAAAGGAAACGTATCCTCATTTAATTAGCTTTTCACGGGGATTTAATACTGAATCAAATAAGAAGAATGTTCTTTTACTCATCTAGAATTTATTCGACAACCACCTCTTGTATCGCTAGAAACTTACAGTGGCCATCATTATTGTCTATTATTTTCAATCGATTAAGGATTTCAAGTTTGGTTCGTCTTATCTCTTCGACGTTGAATTTATATCTTTGGCCTCACCGATTTGATCTTTAAAAAACTTTATGTAATTGATCACCACCAAGAGCCATATTATACTCTCATTACATTTTTATATGTATATATAGAGATCAAATTAACGATGTACTCTTAAATATATTTTTTGCTTTTTAGCTAAAGTAATTCATTTAGATCGCACGACATCTGGCCCTGTAACATCCCTCTTGATACATTCCAAATTTTTTGTCTACTTTTCCTTAATGGTGATGAGAAAACTGCAATATTGTGAACTTCCGTTTATTCTTAAGAGAAGCTTCTGGGGTTATCTATACCATAACTACAGTTTTAAATTTACTTATCTCACTTTTACGTAATATTAATAATTGGATACTGCCTTACTAATTGAGTTGTCGTTATATTCGTTTAATTTTTAGTTTATTTTTATTATCCGCTTTATAAATTATTATTCTAACTCATTTTTTTTAGTTTTGAAGACGCTTCGACAAGGTTCTCTTTGCTTACGAAATTTGGAGAAATTACTATTGGAAATATGGCTAACTTGTTAAGCGTGAAGGGCTTAAGAAAAAAATATTCGTCTATTACTTTATTGTTGATATGCCTTTTACTGTTTATAATTAATTCCCTTATTGGTGTTTGTTATATTAAGCGGAATTATTTCTTTCACCAAAACCTATTGCCAAATTATATCCGCAACTTCTTTACTAGTACTTCTAAACGCTTATCCCTCCCTCCTATCTAAACACGAATACAATAACCTAATAGGCCGTAATATTTTTCCTTTTTTCTTAATATATAGATTCGTTTCCGTTAATTATCTACGAGAACGCTTTGTTAATGTACGTTTACTAATTTAACTTATATCTTATGCTGTATTTTTACATTCTTTTTGATTCTCTTTAAATAAAGCCTTTAATTTTGTTGAAAGATGTGTTTTTTATAGGCTTTAATGGGACATTTTGACATTAATCTCATTTAACTTTTTATTTACAAGTAGACTTACGGGTTTCCGTACATTTCGCCTTTTTATTTTATTCACATTTCGATAACTTTTCATATTATCTCTTTCTAAATGCTTTTGAAAGCGCCTTCTTTTGGTACTGGTTTCTTCTACTGTAGCCTATGTTCTACTTGATCGTTTTCTACAGAATCACATAGTGTATGGCCCGGAATGACTTTAAAAGTTCTCCCTATCCCACGAATTTCTTGTGCGCATGTCATCTGATCGTCTATCACCATAGGAAGACCTTGCTGAACTATGATGGCGATGCCGGTATTCTAAGCCCCTGTGTCTTAGCCTTGGCTCCATGTCGTATTCAGATCGCGATGAAGCTGAGTTGTTTAGACTATCAGCTATCATTCCAGCCTTTCGAAGCCAGCAACCCATTCCGCCGCCTCGAGAAGTCTGTGTCTGCCCCTGGCTTCCATGCCGGCTCCGATGATTTAGATATACTTGCTGGTGGTGGGTGTTGCTTTCCGGTTGGTATGCATCTGGTGTTGGAGGGGGCGGCATGGGAAAAATTGCCTCCACCTCCGTTTCTTCAACTGATTTCTGCATTGTCTTAAGTCGTGGTGGAGGTAGAGGTGTCTCTTCTGTTTTTAACTGTTGACGTAGTGGCAACGGTGGGCACGAAGTTGCTGGAAGAACTGCAAAACCTTGCTTGCTTCCGGTTTGCGCCCGCATCACGCATGTAGCATAGCGATATCGATTCCAAATCATCTCAACTAATTGTGTAGCCATTGGCCGGCCGACGTTTAACTCGACTAAACGTAGTACGAAAACGCCGTCCTGGCCGAGTACCTGTTCTGTGAAATTAACTGTGGCTCTCTTGTCGGCCTCACTCAGTTCAATTATTCGGCTGCCTGCATGAGTGCCGCCTCCGCCACTCCTATCTCCTACTCTTCTTCGATTAGCCCAGAGCGTGGCTGGCTGGCCTGTCCAGCTCCAGATCCAGCCGAATTGATTAATTGGTCCTCGTGTCTCCATGTTATCACTGCTACCTTCGTTGCTAGTACTGTTGTTTGTGCATCTACTGGTGGCGAGATTAGGGCTTACTGTAGGGTTTAAATTGATCGAAACTGTAATTGGAGGCGGGGTTGATGTGAATTGACTTGCCATGGCATTCTGAATTCCTGGTGAACACGAAAGGGTCGAAGAGATTGCTTGTCTGTCGTGCAGGAGACCACGGATGAAAGATATCCTGTTCGACTCAAAGCTAGATCTTGTTGGATCAAGGGAGATGTTTCAAATAGGAATTT